ACCTAACATAACCTAACCCTAACCTAAATCTAACCTAACATAACCTAAACCTAACCTGACATTACCTAAACCTAACATAAACTAAACCTAACATAACCTAAACCTAACATAACCTAACCTGACATTACCTAACATAACCTAACCTAAATCTAACCTAACATAACCTAACCTAACCTGACATTACATAACATAACCTAACCCTAACCTAACCTAACATAACCTAACATTACCTAAATCTACCCCTAACATAACCTAAACCTAACCTAACCCTAACATAACCTAAACACAAATGTGTCAGGATGAAGAAGAGTACACGTAGAAGACAAAGACGTCCATTTGGAAAGACGAGGAGATTCCAGATGTTTTGGTGATGAGGGCCGACGCCGGTGTGGACGAGCTGATAAACAACACTGATCTTTACACAGCAGAGTTTAGACGTCATGTCCCGCCTCCTGCTGCTCTACAGGCTCCATCCTTCGGTGTCTGCTCTTTGATTAGCCCGAAAGGTCACATGACCTCCACTGACGACCTCTGACCTCCAGAATTAAACTTACAATGACTTTTAGATAACACTCTTTCTCCACCACTCTGTTCCTCTGAGGAACCAACCATAATAAGCAGGAGTGTCTATCTGTAGCTCCAAGCTCCTTAAATTAATTTTATTAACGTCGTCATCACAGTGGAAACGAGCCCTGACAGATGTGCAGGTGTTTACCTGTTTCCTCAGGTGAATGATGATGTCAGAGGGTCTGGACAGACTTTCTTTTTGATTGGTCCTCAGAGCAGGAAGTGAACCTGAAGGAGCAGAGTCGACATGTGACAGAGAATCACAGGAAATTGATGCTGAACGTGTGAGAGGAGATCAGACTAACCGCCGGGACTCCGCCAGGGGTTGGACATCTTCCTAAGTTTGAGGGGAGCTCCTGCGAACTGAGCATAGGCCTGCGGAGACAAAACATCACAAACATGTAATAGACACAACACCAGACTGCGGTCACGTCTGACTCCAGAGCATGTTAACATGTTTATCTTTATCAACAGAAATGAGTAGACTACTGCTGAAGTTGTATGTGAGTTAGGCCTACTAGTTATTTTTAATGAGGCTTTGTTAAGTAGCCTAATTAATTGTTAGGTAGGCTATCTCTCTCTCACCCTCTTTTTAGACTTGGTGCCTTTTGGATCGTTTTTGAGTTACATTTTGACAAAACCTGTCAGACCTAAGTATTATTATGTTTTTGGTTAAGTTATTGTTTAACAAGATTTTTTTTTAGATTATTTAGATTTTCTATTTGGAACAAACGAGGGTCAATTGTGTTTAAGAGCACCGGCTCGCAGCTGCAGGCTCCTCTGCTTTAGAGCGCACATCTTCAAGTCTAACCATTGAACGACATTCTCGTAATAAAGATCTCATCCAGGAACAACACGCTGCATTTTGTATTTTCATTGCATTGTTAAAATAGAAAAGGTAAAATAATGTATTTTAATTGATAAATTTTTTTTAATGATTAATCGAAAATTGATCGTTAATTCCCCCGACGATCGATTAAGAAAATTTAATCGAATGCCCACCCCTAGTCTGTGTTTCAGTGTGTGTGTCTGTGTGTGTGTGTGTGTGTGTGTGTGT